TGTCCCCCCCTACCTCGGCACGTCCCGCGGGGTCTCCCGCCCCGAGATGCACGGGCGAGGGCGCATCTCCCGGACCCTGGCCCCTCGAGGGGTACGCTGGCGCAGCGCCACTCCCACCCCTACGACCCCCCAGAGGCGTCCAGCCAGGAGCCCCCCACCCCACGCTGCCAAAGTGCTTCGAAGTTGCGATCCCTCCGGTTCCCCGCGAGCAGTGCCCACCCGGTGGGCACCCGCAGGTGCTTTTTCCGGGCCTGGGAAGGGACCCCTGCCACGACTGCCAGTCCATGGACGGGCCCCTTGGGAGCCCCTAGGCCCCCGAGGGCAGCGCCTGCAGCCAGGCCTGGAGCCCCGGCCCCGCCCCGGTTGCCTGGGCCGGGCCTCCCCACCATCTCCCCTGGGAGAGCGCCTCATTCCTGCCCTTCACTTTCTGCCGTTACCTTGAAGGTATTTATAGGTGGAGAGGACAACCCCCACCCCCACGGCCTCCCCAAGGTCCTCATTTCTGGACCAAGAGCCCCATCCGTCCCTTTTGCGTGCAGACTAGAGGGATCTTGGGAGGGTGGGGTAGAGGAACCCAGGCTGGGTGGTGTGCAGGAGCAGTAATGTTGGGGGGAAGTAAAGGGGTTAATGCTGGGGTCACTCGAGGCTGCGTGTGAGGGTGAAGGGGTTAATACTTAATACCCTAAGGTCGGGTGTGGGGGGAGAGCTAGAACGTGGGAAAAGTGCAGGGGTAATGATGGAGGGACTTGACATAGGATATAGGATCAGAGTGTAGAAGTGGCGGGTATGCATGCTAAGGTGTGGGCATGAGGTATATGCATGTGCATTGAAGTGAGGGCACAATTGGGGAAAGTGCAGAAGGGAGGCATCTGGGAGAAGTGATAGGATTAATGCTAGAAGAAAACAAGGTGGCTGAGTGCATCTGTAAAGATGGGTAAACTGAGGCAGAACAGGCTCTTGATAAAGAGAAGCATTGTTGGTGGTGAGACTGAGGCATGCTGACGATAAGAGCCATCTAGGGTACACTGTGTGTGGATAGGGCCTCAGCACCATTTACTTAGCTCACTTGGGCTGGGAGATAAACTGAGGCACTGGGCTGCAAGGGTGAGGACTGTGGCTTCAGGGAAGGAGAAATTGAGGCAGAGTTTCTTTCCTACTTCTCCTAAGCACCTGTCTCTCTGCCCCCAGACCTACAATGCCTCACTGAGCCAGCCAGGAAGCTGAGTGGAGCCAAGCAGAGAGAATCCATGGATGGACCCCTGGCAGGCGGCCTGGCCACCCCAGACCGTCCTCGAGGCCCAGAGAGACTGCCTGGCCCAGCACCAAGAGAGGACATTGAAGGTGGGGCTGAGGCTGCAGAGGGTGATGGTGGCATCTTCCGGTCCACTCATTACCTGCCTGTCACCAAGGAGGGCCCCCGAGACATTCTGGATGGCAGAGGTGGCATTTCTGGTAAGAGGGTGGGCCCTGTGGCCCTGGGAGAGCATCCAGTCCCATGTTTCCAAGGCTCAGAGAGGGCCAGGTCACCCAGCCCAGCTGCAGCTGAGTTGGGATTTGGGTTCTGCTTGGGTCCAGAGCCTTCTCTTTGCACTCTGCTTAGGTTTCCATTTTATAATTGTGAAAACGGACCTGCGAGCCGATGACCTAACCAAGATCCCCCAGTGGGTGGTAAGGAGCTGGGATTTGAGCTCAGGTCTGTCTGGCTCCCTCCTTTGAGCACACTAATGGGGTCTAGGTCCCCAGCTTAGCACCCCAAGCTCCCTGCCATAAGCCCACTTGTTCCACAGGCGTTCTCTGCCTCAGCAGTCTATCCTGGCTCTCTCTTGCTGCACTGTTTTTGGTGAGTTCTGTCCCTGAGCCATGAGGCAAAACAGCTTGTGCCCTCTAGTGGCTGGGGAGAGACTTAGTAATCAGGGATACTGAATGTCCCTTTGTGCCTCAGTTTACCCAGAAAAAGGGGCTCTCACACCATTCCCACCTCAAGATTTGTTATTCATTAAATGCTCAGCACCTACTATGTGCCAATCTCTGTTCTAGGTGCTAGGGATACAACTTATAAACAAAAGAGATACAAGTCCCTGCCCACAGAGGCCTGACATTCTAGTAGGAGAGACAGACAACAAACAACTAAATAATAAGGGCAGGTAGAGACAAATGCTGTGAAGGTATTCAACAAAGTACCAGGCCCGTTCCTGGAGAACCTGGGAACACCTCCCTGAAGGGGTGGAATTTGAGTGGAGCATGGAATGAATGATGGGAAGGGCAAGCCAGGTGGAGGGAATGGCAGGTGCAAAGGTGAGAGGGAGCCTGGTGTGTTCAAGGACCAGGCAGGAGCCTCGTGTGGCTGAAGAGTGGTGGGTACAGTGCAAGCTGATGCACCAGATATATCTCCCTTCATTTCCTTGGCCTGCCTTGAAGGCCTTGGTTTCCTTGTAGTACCCTGTTGGGGGATTTCTACATGCCAAGCCCTTTACGTGACTATATGTCATTCTCAAAAGAACCCTGTCGGGGGTAGCCTTGATTATTATTGTCCCGTGTTAGAGTTGAAGAAACTGAGAACCCGATTGGGTTAAGTTGCCTAAGGTCACAAAGCTAGTCAGTAACCTGGCTTGACAGCCCTCATTCTTAACCACCATGCTCTGTCAAGGCATTCTTGACTTGCCCCCACTAACCCTTAGCAATGCTTGTGGGGCTCAGATATTTACAGAGCATCTTCCCAGGGCTGGGCATTGGGCACAGCCAGTAACCAAGTGCACGCAGCATCTTCACTCTCATGGACCCTGCCATCTGGAATCATGGAGACAGATCAGCTGCCAGGTGTTATGACTACAATGGGGGCAGCCCAGCCTGGCCCTGCCTGGCGGGGTGTAGGGGGCGGGGTACATCCAGGAGTCACAGATGAGGAACAGTGAGTAAGGCAATGGGCTCCACATATACATGGCATGAAGGTGTCTGGTGGCACCTGAAGGTATCATGCAGGGGGATGGCAGGGTGAGACCTATGGAGTATTAGTACTCAGGGAACCATAGCAATCCCCTTCTCCAAACCCTTAGTAACCGAGGCTGAGAGAGAGACAGGGCCCTGTCCTAGGTCACATGGCTGGACAGGGCACTCCCAGGACCTTGACTTTGTGGGAGCCCCAGGGAATGGGCGCTGGGATCCCAGGGTCCTCTCTAATTCTGGTTCTGAGGAATTGGGTCCTTCTTCTCTACCTGGCAAATGCTCCAGGTGGGTAGGTAGGTGTGTCCTCATGGCCCCCCAGGGAATCAACCAGGGTCCAGTGCATGTGCCTGGGGAGGAGGGGATTGTGGCTGCTAAGGGGGGCCAGGCCCACCCTTAGTGGTGTCCCTGGGCAAATAGGGGCATGGGAGCAAGGATGGCTTGAAGTAGGGTCTCAGCCTGAAGGTTGGAGAAGGGCCTGGGCTTCGGACACGGCGTTCCCCCCGCACCTCCTGCTGCCCTCTCAGCCTGCTCCACCCCCCTTCCCTGGCACAGGCACCTGCCCTAGGAGTCTTGTGATGTCTATAAATAGGAATTGTTTCTGGGGCTGCTGTTCCACCCGAAGCCTGGGCCCTCCCTCAGCTCCATCTAGCCCTTGGAGTCCCCCAAGGAGACCCCTGGAATGTCTACCTCCAAAATTCTCCGCCTGGACATGGATGCATCCACTGCCTCCTCTGTCTTCCAGTATGGCCATTGGCCTGGAAACCCCAGAGCCTCCCTGCAGCTGCCCACTCAATGTTTGGCCTCTCTGGTTGGCCTCCCAGGTGCAGCCAAGGTTTGGGTGGCTAAGATGGTCCACATGGATTGACGAAGAGTCTGGTGTGTGCCTGGCATTGAAACCAGGGTGCCAGGGGACGAACAACGCATCATATCTGCCCTCATGGGGCCTCAGGCTGGGGAGGAAATCAGAACATGGAATGAGCGGAGGCCTAAGGCTTTGGGGCCAGCCTCCAGCTTCCAACCTGGGGTGTCTCTGAGCCATCCCCAACCCCCACTCCCCCGCCCAGGCACTCTTACCTTCTTCTTTCCCCACTACCACTGCCTCTCTGGATGGAGCATTTATTGTGATTTCCTTGGCATCAGTCACCTGCCCTGCGAGACTGGGTTGATGGCTGTTTCCACCATACATAGGAGGAAACTGAGGCTTAGAATGGGAAAGGCATGCCCTTCCGGTCACTGCTGAGCCTTAAACTAGTATCAACTGACTCCAAAGTCTAGATTCTTGGCCCTCAGCCATGCTGCCTGACGTGGTTCGGGCTGCTCACGGACACCCTTCTTGTATTCCCTTTCTCATTTTTAAACCTCTCGGGGACCCCAAAAGGCGGAAGTCCATGAGGGCCCCTTGGCATGACCACTGCTGAGGGCTGCGTCCTGGGTGCCTTGTCTGACCCATAGAGACTTCTGGATCCCCACCAGCTGGGTGAGCCCACTGGCCCCCAGGTGCCTTGGATACGGGGTCCTACTTGGCCTGCTTCCTTCAAAGTCACTGCCACTAAAAATAGGAGCCTCACTGGAGCTGCTCAAAGAGGCCAACACGGCTCGGGGGCTCATGGAATTCTTAGACAACGGCAATCGCAGAATCCTTGAATCTGGGACACCTGGAGTCTCAGAAGCAGGATGCCTGGACCCTGAGACTAGTGGCTGTGCTGGCGCCTGTTGCCAGTGAACTGATTGCCTCCTCCTGAGAAGCTTCTGATGCTTGTGGTCTTGCTCCCTTGACTGGTCCAGGTCTGGCTTTTTCAACTATCACACCCTCTCCAATACCCCACCTGCCCCATCCTTCATCCTGATGCCGGCATATGTATCCAAGCATACCCCTGGTCTGGCCCTGCTCCCCATTTGTCTACAGCAGGGGTCCTCAAGCAAGGGATGATTCTGCACCTAAGGGACACTTTAGCTATATTTGGAGACATTTTTGGTTGTCATGATTGCAGGGGGCAGGGCAGGGGGCTACTGGCATGTACTGGGTGGAGACCAGGGATGCTGTTCAACATCCTGCAATGCACAGGGCAACTCCCACTGAAGAATGATTGGCCCCAAATACGAATAGTATGAAGAATGGTAAATTGCTCTGGACAACGAATTGCTATATCCCCATCAGCATCCTCACCTTCTAGAGGCCACATGACAGTTACAGCCCTTCTCTCAGGCTCAGCAGATCAATCCTTGGGCAGTGATTACAATTTTCTGACCCTTCCACCCATCCCTGCCCGAACTTTTAATTCTTTGGCTCCTGACAGTCAGCTCTCACTGTCCTGGGCAAATTTGATGATAGGGGATTGGAAAAAGAATGAGCCTCGGCACTAGTCCATTCCTGGCCCTTCCTCAAATTGAAGCTAATTCAGCAATTGCATCTGTTGGGCTCTGGACGGGGTGCAAGTTCCCCCAGTGTGTTAACCTTGGCCCAGGCCATTGGCAGGAGCCCCGACTGGCATGCTTACCCGCGTCAGGCGGGGGCGGTGGTGGTGGCAGACAGAGGAGACACAGGCTAGAAGCCCTGTGGTCGCTCCCGGCGTTGGCTCCACAGGTGATAATGGAGAGTTGGCTCTATCTGTGCAAGGGGTCCCAGGAAAGGGATATAGGCCTAGAATGGGGTCTGGAAGGCAGGGTCAGGACATCCACAGCTCGGGCTAGAGGGCTGTTCACTCATCATCTGGCTAGTATTGATTGAGCACCTGTTGTGTGCCAGGCACTGGATGCTGCAGTGAATGAGGCCGAAAAGGTCCCTGCCCTCAGGGAGTGCTTACATCTTATCAGGGGACACAGGCAAGCAGTTATCCAGACAATAAACCAGGCAGTTTCAGAGAGTGCTAAGGAATAAACAAAATAGGCGACAAGAGAGAAAAATCACAGGAGCTCACTTTAGCAGGTGGCTAGGGAAGGGTTCTCTGGGGCAGAGGAGTAGCCAGTGCAAGGCCTTGAAATCAGAGTTAGGTGGGCTTGAGTCTTCAGGAGCAGTCAGTAGAGTGAGTGAGGGATGAGGAGAGAGAGGTGAGGCTGGAGAGACCTGCAGAGGTCTGACCTCGCAGGCCCTTGTAGGTGGTGGTTTACAAATCTGGTTTTTACTGTAGATATGAGCCAGGTGAGTTTTTACCAGGGTGTGACTTTTAAAATTCACCCTGACTGCCCAGTAGGGACAAAGAGAGGAGGGTTTAAGGCACAAGCCCCTGGGGTTCCCCAGGAATGATAAGGGGACTCCTCCAAGGAAATCCCTTCAAGGCTCAGGAATATAGAGGCCAAAGGCCTCTCAGGGGAGAGGGGTGGAGAGCCAGCAGGGCCCTCCCAAGGTGCCCGGCAGGGCTCCTGGAGCTGGGGTACAAAGGGCCCCAGCCAGGGGGACCCCAGCCCCTCAGGGTCTCCCCTCTCTGTTGCAGACGGGCAGCCCCATCCCGGCCTCAGCGAAGCCCTCCCCCGTGCCACCTCCGCCACCCATCGGATCAGCAGCTGGTGAGTGCCATGCTGGCCCTGACCTCAGGGAGGGCAGGGGGGCAAGCAAGACGTGTCCAGGCCCCAGAGAAGCCCCTGGGAGTAAGAAGGGAACAGGAGGGAATCAGGAGAACAGAAAAGGTGGTGGCTCCCTGCAGGCAAGCCCTTGGGCATGTGTAGGGGTTGCGGGGAGGACTGGGATGAAAACAGACGGTCAACTCTCATTATCCCTGCCAGGAGCAGAGCCAGAGGGGCAGGAACCTGGAAGTTGGACCCTTGGAGTCCTCACTCTGCCAGGTGGCCCTTAGAACGATGCCAGGCCTCTTTGAGCCTCAGTTTTCTCATCTGTAAAGTCCCTGAGATGCATTTTACAAACTTGCCTTGAGTTTCCAAGGGATGTTGGCTAGGAGCAGGAATTGACAGCAATGCTGATGCCAGTGCCCCTTTATTAAAAGGTGTGGCAGTTGCCAATATGTAATAATGCTCATATCAGTATTAACAGCTCTCCGTTATTGAGTGCTTACTGTGTTCTGAGCTCTCGGCACAGGTTTACCCCACTCAATTTTTGCCACAGCCCTCGGGGGAGATAGTCCCGTTAGTATCATGTCACTGATGGGGCTTAGAAAGTATGATCGACAGCCCTTTGTGCAGGCAGGATCTTGAAAATGAAGGGAGATGGATCAGGAATAGTCATAGTAGGAACCACATTAGTCATGGACTGACTGGGAGCCAGGCATTGGGCCAAGCGAAGCGTTTCCCCAGCACTGAGTTGTGTCATCTTTACCTTATACTACATGTGGTCAAAGTTCCCTGTTGAAGGGCTATGGTTGGGATCATTTAAATGACCACCTGCCAAGTATTAAGTTTTCTTTGATTATGGGTGTGAGAGAGTTCCTTAGATGTTGCACAAGGGTGCAGAAGCTCCTGGTTCTTGGGACTCGTCCCATTTTTAGGGTTGAGAACAGAGGCTTAGTGAAGTGGCTGCACCTCCCCACTCCCATAACAGAGGTCAGGGTCACTGGGGCCAGAGGCTGAGTGGGGAATTGCATTTCTCCTATCTCTGCTCTTCCAAGAGTGAAGGTGCAGGGGCAGGGGTGGGGGAACTATGTCCCGTGAAGCTGTTCATGCCACAGAGTTTCAGCAAATTTGCTGGAAAGGTGAAACTAAATAAACTAAATCATCCCAGTTTGAGGAAGACTAAGACAAAAGCACCCTAGAATATGAGTCAGAGCCTTGGGCCCTCCGGAGGGACAGATGAGAGTTGATTGTGCCACCAGACTTAGGGACACACTTTGTGACCCCAGTGTGGTCTCTGCACACTCACCCGCACTGCAGGAGGGCTGGGCTACATGTATGGGTGCATCCTAGGAGCTGAATTTGGATTTTGGCCCAATGGCTTTGGAAGGGTCCACGTGTACTCCCCCCACCTCCCGCCCTCTAAGGTCACCCTTGGGCTGGGTCTCTGGGGCCTGTCTCAGACTGCCTCAGAGATACCCCTCCCCTGCCTGAGGAAGGGGAACTGAGGCCCATGGCTAACCTGTTCCCATTGGCACTTCCTTACAGCTGCTGGGATGGAGGCAGCCTGGACTTCCGGCCGGGTTCCCCACCACCCCATCTCCTGGGCCACTTCCCTGGCCTCCCTGATGGCCAGGGGTCCTGGGAGCATCCCATGGTCCAGGAGGCCGGGGAGGGCATCCCATCTGAGCGGAGGTTTAAGGACTCTGTCATTGTGAGAACCATGAAGCCCCATGCTGAGCTCCAGGGCTCTAGAAGGTTCTTACACCACCAGGGTGAACCGAAGCTCTTGGAGAAGTCCCCCCGGGGCCACTCCAGATTGGACTGGCTCCAAGATACGGATGAGCAGGCCCCAATCCGGGACTCAGGGCTGCCCCTGGACCTGCCACCCCCACCACTGCCCTTCACCTCCTTCAGGACAGTGCTGGTGCCTGTGGAAGACACCATGAAGACCTTTGATGTGGCCATGGTGGGCACTAGAGAACACCTGACGGACCTGGAAGGGCTAGCCCAGTCATCCGCCGAGTGGGGCCTGCCACGGTCGGCCTCAGAGGTGGCCACGCAGACCTGGACAGTTAACTCAGAGGCATCTGTGGAGCGGCTACAGCCAATACTGCCTCCGGTCCAGACGGGGCCCTTCTTATGTGAGTTGCTAGAGGAGGTGGCCGAGGTGGTGACCAGCCCAGATGAGGATGAGGATGAGGACCCAGCTGTGTTCCCATGCGTCGAGTGCAGCATCTACTTCAAGCAGAAGGAGCACCTTCTGGAGCACATGGGCCAGCACCGCCGAGCCCCAGGCCAGGAGCTCCCAGCCGACTTGGCCCCGCTGGCCTGTGGTGAATGTGGCTGGGCATTCGCTGACCCCAGTGACCTGGAGCAGCATCGGCAGCTGCACCAGACCTCCCGGGAGAAGATCCTTGAGGAAATCCAGAAGCTGAAGCAGGTCCCAAGTGATGAGGGCCGGGAGGCAAGGCTACAGTGCGCCAAGTGCATCTTTGGCACCAGTTCCTCCAAGGCCTTCGTGCAGCATGCCAAGCTGCATGCACGCGAGCCACCAGGCCAGGCTGCCAAGGAGCCCTTTGGCGGTGGCAGCCCTGGCCCTGACACTACTGCCCTTGGTTATCAGCCTTATGGAGCTTCGTCAGGCCTCAGTGCCTGCATTTTCTGTGGCTTCCCAGCACCCAGCGAGAGCCTGCTCAGGGAGCACGTGAGGCTTGTACATGCTCGTCCCCACTGGGAGGAGGATGGCGAGGCTTTCGAGGAGGACCCTGCCAGCCAGCCTGGCACCAGCCAGGATGCATATGCCCGCTTCCCTGAAGCCACTGAGGACTACTTTGGCAATGCTGAGCCACTCTTGGCCCCCTCATGGCAGGAGAACCCTGCTGGATACGACCCCAGTCTGGCCTTTGGCCCAGGCTGCCAGCAGCTGGACACAAGGGATTTCCCACTGTCAAAGCCACTCCTGCGTGGCTTGGGCCAGAGGCCTCTGGGAAGGCCAGCCTTTCCCTCACCACTAGCATCCACCCCCTATTCCTTACAGCCCAGTAGAGGCAAAAATATTGTCCACCTGCAGGGGCTTCCAGCCCAACTAGGGGACCAGAGGCATCCCTGGAGCGAAGAGGAAGAGGAAGACATACAACTGGCCTCGGAAATGGACTTTTCCCCCCAAAATGGGATCTTTCCACCCCCAGCTGTCCCTGGCCTCATCCCAGAGCCAGCCCTGGAGCTGAAGCGGACTTTCCGAGAAGCCCTGCAGGCAGCCGAGGCCTCACCAGCGCAGCAGCAGCAGCTCCGTGAGATGGTGCCAGTGGTTCTAGTGGCCAGGCTAGGGTCCCAGATCCTGGCTACGGAAGCCAGGGCACCCCCAAGGTTGCAGCCAGAGGAGTTGGGGCTGGGGGCCACCCACCCCCTGGACTTCCTACTCTTGGATGCACCACTGGGCAGCCCACTGGGGCTGGATGCACTCCTGGATGGGGACCCAGCGGTGGCGCTGAAGCACGAGGAGCGGAAATGCCCCTACTGCCCCGATCGCTTCCACAACGGCATTGGCCTGGCCAACCATGTACGCGGCCACCTGAACCGCGTGGGCGTCAGCTACAACGTGCGGCATTTCATCTCTGCCGAGGAGGTGAAGGCCATCGAACGCAGGTTCTCCTTCCAGAAGAAGAAGAAAAAAGGTAGGGGGACTTCAATCCAGCACCCATCTCCTTCCAAGGCCCCCAAGACGCATGGCTGAGCACCTGAGTCTGAACCACTCAACCCTCACTCTAAATCCTCCCATAGTACCAAGCTGGGGTGAAGTTGGGGCCTCCCCCTGGGAAGATCTGGGAGCAGCCACAAAGGCCACCACATTGGTGGAGGTGTGGGGATGCCCCCATATGCTGGCCCTTCCAGAAGCTGAAGGAAGAATTATAGGCAGAGGGTCAGCCCCAGGCAGGGGATTTCATTGGTTCCTTCATTTGACAAATATTTATTGAGTGAGGTCCCCTCTGTTCTGAGCATTGGGGCCACAGCAGTGAATGAAACGGCAGTCCCTGCTCTCCTGGAGTTCATGGCCTAGTCACAGCATTGGTAGAACCCTGGCTGGCTTCAGAACCCCCAGGGCTCCCTGTGAGGTATACAGAGTCCCAGGGACCAAGGTTCTGATTCTGGAGGTCTGTCTCCAACACGAGTACCCTGGGTAGTTCTGATGCTGGCAGACATGGAGCCCACTTGGGGAGGTTCTGGTATGGTGTTTGAGAGTATGTGTGTGCACATGCGCTGGGGGTGAGGGGCAGGGGGAGACAACCATGAAATCAGGCAGTTATGATGTTGAGTGACCAGGGCTGTGATGGGGGAAGCTCAGGAAAAATGAGCTCTAGGCACAAGAAGGGTCTTAATTAAACACTCACCCAAATGATTCCAAATTCACAACTCAAGAAATGTTTGAGGGTGTGGTCCCTAATGCAGCAAGCTGTATGAAGGAGGAATGTGGCAGGTCAAGAGAGAAGACTTCTTGGAGTTGGGGGGACATAGGAGCTAATGCAGGCAGGCACGTAATCAGCAAAGGGGAAGGGAGGTATCCAGGTGAGGAACAGTACCAGGTGTGTGACCTTCTGAGGGTGAGCAGCCCCCCAGGAGAGGGGAGGGCTGGGGCTGGAGAGTTAACCCCTTTTCCCTCCCAGGTAGTCCATGTCTTCTCTCTCTCCACAGTGGCTAACTTCGACCCTGGCACCTTTAGCCTGATGCGCTGTGACTTCTGCGGGGCTGGCTTTGACACGAGGGCTGGCCTCTCCAGCCATGCCCGGGCCCATCTGCGTGACTTTGGCATCACCAACTGGGAGCTCACTGTGTCGCCCATCAACATCCTGCAGGAGCTGCTGGCCACCTCGGCTGCTGAGAGGCCCCCCAGCCCCCTTGGCCGTGAGCCTGGGGGACCACCTGGTGGCTATCTGACCTCCCGCAGGCCCCGCTTACCTCTCACAGTGCCCTTCCTGCCCACCTGGGCTGAGGACCCTGGGCCAGCCTACGGAGATGGTAAGGGGAGAGAAGGCGGGCAGGTGTGGAGCCCTGACCTTTCCCAGGAGCCCAGAGGGACGGAGGGATGGGATGGGGGCAGCCACTCCATTTTCCTGAAGGTGTTTCAAGTCACTCTACAAAGTACATTGACAACTGTCCTCACAACTGCCCTGCCACTTAGGGCCCACTTCTGTTTTTCTCAGGGGCTGGCCCAGGGCTCCTCCTGGATCCAGTTCCACTCTTCACTGCCTGACAGTGATTTTAACATATGCTTACTGAGCTCTAGGAGCCGGATACTGTTCTAAGCACTTTACAAACATGAACTCGTGTACATCCTCACAACAACCCGATAAGGCGGGTATGATGATCCCCATTTTACAGATGAGGAAACTGAGGCACAGAGAGCTTACTTAACTTACCCAAGGTCATACAGCCGGAAGTGGTGGAGCTGGGATTTGAAACCCCAAGCAGGTCAGGCTCCAGATCTTTGTTCTTAATGACATCTTCTATCTAGAGTTTGGTAGAACTTTCTGAGATGATGGAAATATTCTCTCAATATCTGTGCTATTGTACATATGGCTATTGAACACTTGAAAGGTGGCTAGTGCTATGTTAGTCCAATCTTACTGGACAGTGCAGATCTAGAATCTATTGTAGATTTTCAATGGTGCCTACTTTGTCCGGCAGCAGTGATAATCGCTCCCATAATTGAGTGCTTGCTGTGTACTAAGGTTTCATCTCATGTGTGCTGCAAAGCAATTCCATGAAGCTAAGGATTGCTGTGTCCTGTTTTATGGATAAGGAAACTGGGTCATTTGCTTTGTCACAGCCACAAAGCAGTAGCACTAGACTTCTGAACACTATGTTTGGTGGGCTCTCCAATGAAGATGGCATGGGAAATCCAGAAGTAATATTTTGGTGAAGGGGCTGGGCACTGTGGAGAGAGCGGAAAGGTGAAAGACCCAGCCTTGCAAAGCCTGGCTTTGTTGGAGCCATTACTGAACCTCAAAGCCCAGGCCTCAGCAATGAGGAGTAAATGGGATTTGGGGAATGGAGAGGGTGCCTGAACACGGGGAATTGTCTAGGGGCTGAGACTTCCTTCTTTGTTTCTCCTGTCTGGAGCTTCCAGGGTCCTACCTAGATCTGTACTCTGGGATGGGCTTGTCTCATCTGCAAGCCCCGTTACCAGTGAAAGGCACTTGAGGGTCTGCAGAGGGGAGGGTGGAGCTACGAAAGCCCCATTTCTTCTTTGGACGAGAAAATAGTGACTGGTTGAGGTCACACTTCAGGGAGAGGCCGAGTGGGAACACGTCTTCAGGCTTCTTGCCTCTGCTGAAACTCCCCTGGGCATTCGACTCCCACTCCTGGGTAGGTTTGTGGTGTCTTAGGGGTGGCTGGGAGGCACAGCTGGCAGTTTGTATGCTCCAGCCCTGCCCCTTTCTTTCTCTGTCACTCCCACAGAGGCCTGAATGTCAGGCTCACACCCCTTACACACCCAGTATTCAGGTTCAGTTCTGGCTAAGCTGTTTCCACTCGAAGACCAATGTGCCAGACCCCCAGTTAGTACTGAAAGAGGCAGCTTTTGGGTGTGATCAGTCTTTCAGTGAACACCGGGTGTGGGGGAGTGACTGAGGAGATCCTGGGAGCCTCGCTTTGAGGAAGGATGCCCAAGATTAAGAGTAGGTCTGTGCAATGGCCCTGCAAGGCTGTCTTAAAAGCCTCTTCCACCCCTTCCTAAGTGGGCTGTAGGGGGCGGGTGCCAGGTTGGGGGCGGGCCAACGGTCAGGTTCTGGCCCCACCCAACTGTCAAGGAACAGCGTCGGGGCAATCGGCTTGGTGTTAGGGAGAAACGGGTTGTACTGAAAATGCGGTGCCGGCTGAATGGGGAGTTCTGTAGGACTGTGGGACAGTGATGTCAGCATGATGTTGGGGGGAGGGGAGAGCAGTCCTCGTGGTTGGGAATTCAGGATCCCCGACGCGGAGGGACTTCCAGGGAATGGAATGGATCAGGGTCCTGGGGTAGGTCCTAGCTCCGCCTGTCGTGGCTCTGGGAGCCTGGTGTAGATGGATGATTCCCAACCTAGCCTTAGGGCTGTCCTGGGTAGGGGACAGTATCCCAGCCCGTCAAGGCCCGGACTGGAGTGGCCGTTGACGGAGTGTAGGAGCGTGCGTGCGTGCATCCGCGAGCCAAGGCGCGGGCAGGGCCGGGACCAGGACTAGGGTTTCGCTCGCGGCGCTCGGCGCTCGGTCGGCCGCCCTGGGCGCGCCCCGAGGGGCGGGGCGGAGCGGGCTCGGCTGTGTCGCTCGGTACTCGGCTGCTCTCGCCTGGAGCGGCCGCCCCGCGTGCGCCGGAGCCAAGATGGCCGCCTCCACCGCCCAGTGCCGAGTGACAAAAGCGGAG